CCCGAACCCTCTTAGCACCCCCTGGCCGACACTCGCCATCTCCCCCTTTTTACCCCCTTGTCTACAAACCCCGGGCCTCGGCCCAAGAGCAGGACGGGGTGAGCAGACGCGAGACGCTGCCCTCCTCAGTGCGCCCACAGTCACAGGCCCTGCTTCCCCAACTCTGCCTCCCTGCCAGGGAGGAGGGAAGGAGGCCGGAAGGGGGTCCCGGCACAGGGAGGGGGGACGGACCGGCCTCCAAGGGAAGCCCAACGAAGTCCATGCAAAGTTGAGAATCATTTCCACCTCAAAAGACACCATCTGGGGGGCAGCAAACAGGCCAGCAGCAGCAGGAGCAGGAGCAGGAGTGGCTGCATCTTCCCAGAAAGGCTGCTCTTTGGAGCCGCTGGGCCATCCTTCGCCCAGAGAGGATGGAGGAGCACGTGGGCCCAGTGAGGCTCCTTTCTGCTTCTGTGGCCTGTCATCCTGCAAGGTTTTCTATGAAAGCTGCCCACCCCAACACCTCCTGCCTGGTAACACCCCCTGGGCGGTGTGAGGACCCACAGTGGCCACATCACGGCTGATGACGCAGAAAAGACTACTGTCCCAACCCAGACAGGAACCTGATGCTAAGGTGGGGACTAGGAGGTGGTATGGACCAGTAGAGGTGCCAGAGCCCCAGAAATCAAGTGACAGGCCCACACGCCTTCATCTCCATCCTGCTAATCCTTCAGGATAGTTTCTTCAGCCAAGGCGCAGGCCCTGCTGTGCTACGGCCAGATGGAGACGCAGCTGTGCAGGCTGTGGGTGCACAAGTCAGTGACAGCCACAGCCACTACATCCAGACAGCAGCCCTGCCTCCTCTGAGCTTCCTTCCTGAGGGTTATTTATCATCCCTTTAATGCTCAGAGTGAGGTGGTCTCTCTCTCTCTCTCTCTCTCTCCTTTCATTTTTACCAAAACTGGCCCTTGATATTGATTGACCTATATAGCAAGTCTCTATGGCCCTAGAAGTTGGGTCCATGGGCTGACAATCCTTGGTCTTCCCTGCTTTGGGGGCACAGGGGTGGATCCCACTCAAGCACATGGGCTAAGACTGGCAGAGGACGCCTTCTCCCAAGAAGTTAGATGGCTAAGCTGCCATTACCATGCATAGTAGGGAGCATGCTGGGTACCAGAGACCAAGACTTGACCTTTTGCTGATCTCTGACCTCTGGATAAATTTCAGAATCATTGAGCAACATACCACATAGTACAAGGTTCCTCTGTGCTCCTCCCACCAGAATAGGACAAGCAGAGCTGCAGATACACATGAGAGAAATGTTGGATCATCCCTCAGGACATTAAAGATGATTATTAACAAGTAAGGAGAAATCAAATCACTTTACAATTTTGTTTTGTTTTTAAAATTTTCCAGCAACTGTAGAAATTAGTTGCAAGTAAAATTTAAAAAAATAGGGAAGAGATTATAGTGCCATTGACATACATTTTTAAGAACATGGAGAAAAGGCTTCAGTTGATGGGTTTAGTGAGCTCAAAGAAAATGGCACTGTAGATCTCATACGATCCCAGGATTTAAAACTCAGTGCTTATGTAACACTCTGTCTGTGGGAGATTGAAATGAATGACACTTTTCCTTCCTACTTTCCATTTTCTTCATGAACATATATTAACACAAATCAGAAAGGTAATTTAATTTTAAATAAGTTCCACTACAGAGCGAGTTCAAATTTGTTCACCTCCTTGGTTATATTTGGAATTAGGCATTTTATTTGGGAGAATTGTATTGGAAATGGAATTGTACTAATTCCTTTTTCGGATTATTTATTTCTGGTGTATAGACAGAAACTGAGCTTGTATCCTGCCATGAATTTACTTAATTTATCTTGCTAATGGGGTGTGATTTTCTATATATAGTCATGTCATCTGCCATTGGGTAGTTTACGTCATTTTCTCCAATTTATATGTGTTTTATTTCATTGTCTTGTAGAATTGTTCTGTCCAGGACTTTGAATTCAATGTCAAATAGTGGTGGTGAAGTGGACATACTTATCTGGCTCCTAATATCAGTCTTTTACCATTGCATAGGATGAAAGATTTTGGGTTTGAGTAAACACATTTTATGATGTTACAAAGTTCTCTTTTATTCTTAGTTTGCTGAAACTAATGTAGTTAGATGAATTTTCTGCATCTATGAGATGATCATGTATTTTCCCTTCATTCTATTACTGTGGTGGGTTACACTGATTGACCCTTTTGTTATTTAAGAGAGTGTTACTGTGTTACTTGATTCCATGTCTGTGAGTTTTCCAGTTTTCCATGAATTACTGACTTCTACTTCCATTTCATTAAGGTTGGAGAAGATTATTTGTATTATTTCATTTTAGTTATTATAAATTTAACTAATTCAAAGTATTTAAAACTCACTGAGAAATGTGTATGACCCAACCTATGACTTATCCTGGAGAATGCTTCCTGAGAGAACATGCACTTGAGAGAATATATATTCTTTTGGGGCTGGAGTGTTGGTATATGTGTTTGGTCTAATTGATTTATAGTGTTGTTCAAACTCCTGGTTTCCTTGTTAATTTTCTGCCCAAAGGTTCTACACACTATTGAAAGTGTATTATTGAACTCTCCAACAATTTCTAGAGAATTGTTTATTTCTCCCCTTGATTTTCTCTATGTTTGCTTTATGTACTTGGAGCACTGGTGTGATTAATCGGTTTATAAAGCAAATGAGAAAATGTCAGCCACATCGTAATGCTGCCTAACACTGATCCCTGACTATAGATCCCCACTTTACCCTCTCAGGGAGCTACTGACATTTCTTCATTTCACAGATGAGACAGTGAGATACTGACATGGGAAAGTACTTTTCCTCTTCGCTCATGTCATAAGCGTGGAGAGGGAGCAAGGGTTAGAATGTAGGAGTCTGATTCCAAAATCGGTGATCTTATCCAAGCTCTGCAAATGCACTGTTTCCAAGATTGCCAAGGAATCTAGGGAAAGATAAAGTGTTGCTGAAGAATATAGTTTCTGTTTACCTTGCTAATGTAAGCAGTTCATTCTCTTAGAGAAGAAAGGTTCCCTATCCTGATGGAAAAGTTCATTTAGATCACACAGTTCCTTTTCTTAAATATATTTTAAAGTATATTAAAAATCATTTTCTTCTTTTTGTCCTGATGTTCTTTCCCCACATTCCCCACAGAATATTGATCCTGGCCCATGAGGGACATTTCCTAGAGCCATGATAACCTCTCACATGTCACCATTCCTTGTAGGTGGTGACACTAGCACAGTAACAGGACATTCCCACAGTGACACATGGCATTTGCTTCTACTGCTGTCAACTGATATCCCTAAGTCTTATCACTGTCTTATGTCCTGCCTGAAATCAGAATCTATAGGCATAAGGGGCCAGAAGTTGGCCCTGACCAGTTTCATTTCACCACAGGACTCAGCCATGTTGTTGAGAAGATGCTTGCCTCAGTTCGGAGTCATCTGTGCACTCCTATTAGGATGCTGTGATGAGAGCCTGAAGTTCTGGGATGGTATAAGATATCAAAACACTCTTAAGGGAGATACCTGTCAGGGAAGGAGAACCAAGGCTCAGAGGCCTCACAGCCTCCTGTACCCACACAGCTCAGTAATGCTGGGTGTTATCACATGAGGTGCGTGGGCTAGGTGTGAACAGAGTTAAATGTGTCACAGTGTGTGCAGGGCCTGCTGAGTCTGAGGTGAACGCTCAGGAAAGGACAAGAAAGTGAAGGCCGGGGTGGCAGCCAGCACAGGCTGGGACCCCAGCAGCCCCCGCTCCTGGCTCTCTTCCATTCTCACGAAACCACGAGTGATCGCTCAGCAGGCAAGTTCCAGGCCTCTGGGAGAGCCGGCTCCTGCCCCCGAGCAGCTGACCCCGCTGCAGTAGCCAAAGAGCCTGTGCTTAGAGGGCCCGGGGGTCAGGACATGGGGTGTCCTGGCTGGGGTGAGAGGTCGACTGGGTTTGCCTTATGAGCAGTGGAGCTGGACACACCTGAATAGCCCTGTTTCCTGTCTTATCACCATTCCGGACTCATACTTTGAGAAGGTTCATATTTCCCTTTTCCAAATCTAAGTGTTCTGTGACAAAGAGCTTCTCTTAGCCCACAGATTTGAACAGAAGTCCTGGACTTGACAGTCACTGGACAGAAGCCAATCACCCCTGGGTCCCTTGAAGTGATCTGCTTGGTTTGCGTTTAGGTCACTTAGCACCCTTCGGGCTCTGGGGCCTGTCCCCCCAAGACACAGGAAGGGCTCCCCTGCAGAAAAGCTGCCAGTGCGCCGGGTAAGGGGGGTGAACACTGTCATGCTCCCCTCACGGGCACTAGACCCCTCCATCCTGACACCGTATGTCTGAGGCTCCTGCACCCGTGACCAGCAGCATCAGCAAACAGCGGCCCTCACGCTCCCCAGCTGGACAGCAGGTGATGGAGACCAGGATGAGCCTAACAGCCAGGCCCACTTCTGTTAGAGGAGCAGCATCTTTTGAAGACACAGGACAAAAGCAGGAGGAGACACGGGGAGCAGGAATGAGGATCATCTCCAGGTAGTTGCAGAAATTTCAAGTTTTTATTTATACATTCTGTATTGAACGATCACGCCTTTGAGGAATCTGTATTACTTTCAGGCCCAGAATTTACTTCCCCGCAGTGTAAGCACTCTCGTCAGTGCAAACAATTCAGCATTCTTCTACTTTCCAATCTTCTCTAAGGCGGAGGCTTTCAAAAGAGGTACTTTCTAACTACGTTCTTAGGGAAAGGATTTAGAGGTTCTTGAAAAAATAGAAGAAAAAATTTACTCATGAAGCTATAAGCTGTAGGGCAATTTGAGAAACAGGAGGAGTCAATGATTCCCTCTAGAAATGAAAGTTTGTGAAGCCCCTGGCAGCCCCCCCACCCCCACCGGCCAGTGCTGCTCCAGCCTGTCCCAGAGAGGACAGATGGCTCAGTCCCTGGCACCTCAGCCTGGTCCCTGCAGTGTGACTTGTCTCATTGTTTCTTCTACCCAGGGCACAAAGCTTGAGATCCTGGTGAAGACACATGGAGGCGTCCCATCCTGGGACCCGTAGGAGATGATTCCCTGAGCCACCTCTTTACACACCAAGGGGCCCCCGGAGTCACCCTGTGGGCAGATGGAGGAAGAACTGAGCGGGGCCTTCTCCTGGTCCTGACCTTCCCACTGCCCCATGGGTGGGGGTCTCTGATAGGGGCTGTGGGTGAGATCAGGCCCAGGGCTCCTCAAAGCCTGGCTGCACCCAGGGTTGGGCATGGTCAGTGCTGGTGAGCTCACCTCAAATGTAGACTTAGTTGTTTCTGGCTCTCCGGCACATATCTGGATGCTGTTGTCGTAAGGTATGTCTTTGATGAAACGGAGGCAAACACTGTTCTTTTGAACTGCAAGGTCTACCTCCTGCAGTTTATGTGCAAGCTGGGTATTGACGCCTGAGTGCCCCCATCCGGCCACAGTGCACAGCTTCCCCGACTTCACTGATTTCTTCTTTTTGGGCAGCCTGATGGTTTTCACATTGGTGTTCAACGTGGCGTTCCCTTGAAGCTGACAGAAAGAAAAGGAAAGGAAACCTTATCTACTGCTGACCCACAAGACAGTCATTGCCTTCTCACAAGGGTCACTGAAGGGTCATAACTGGGAAGAGGATGGGAATGAGGTCACAGGGGATACGAACAGCCCAGGATTAAATGTCAGGACCAACGGAGAGATTTGCAACCTGCAGCAACATGATGTCGTTGGCTTTGGTCCAAAGATTATAATCTGGGTGGGGGATGGCTCTCTTCACAGGGATGACCTGCTGGGTCCTCTCCTGCATGGTGATGTCGTGGGCTCCCAGGATGACGGTGATTGAGCTGCACACAGAGCAGAGGGAGAAGTCACAGGAGATACAGCCCAAGGTCTGGCAGGGCAGGAACAGGCGGGGCAGGGAGGGATGCATCTGAGGGGAAATGGAGGCAACAGAGGAATCAGGGCTCATCTGTCTGTGCCCTCTGCTTCTCAGTAACTGAAGGAGTATTCTAGAGCTATTGGTAACTGCGCCGTGGATCACAGAGGTCAGTTACCTCAGGAAGGTGTGCAAAATTGCACTAGTCTGCATCTGATGCCCAGTTGGGCCTAGCATTAAAGCCAGCAGGGCTGAGCACTCTCTCTTCCCTGCAGGTTTCCAGCTGGCACTACCCTGGCTCCTCCCCACCAGCTGCCTACACATTTCTCACCTCTGGGGACTCTTCTGGCTCATGTACTCCTAGAAGCTGGGGAGCTCCTGGGGAGAAGTGGGGCTCTCAGGAGGGTGTGGGCTGTGGCTGCTCCTCACCTCCCTTTACAGTGAGCGGCTGTCAGCACAAAGTCCTCTCGAATCAGGAAACCACCACAAACACGCCTCTTGTTGTGAAATGGCTGGAATTTGTCACCAAACCAGCTCTCAGATTTCTGACCTGATATCCATAGAAATGCCATGTAGGGTCGGGAGTGGGGAATGGCCTCATGTCCCCCGATGATCTCTCCTGAAGGAAATGTCTGGTCTGCTTGTGCATCCACTCACTGCACCCGCCCTGTTGCTCACACTACAGGGAATTTGGGAGCCAGGGTGGCCTGGGGCCGGTGGGGGTGCTCAAGACTCCTCCATTTTCCCCTCCCAGAGAAGGGAAGCCCCTCTGCTTAGCCTGTGCTCTGCCTTCACCCAAAGCTGGAGGTGAGCAGAGCTGTGTCAGGACAGTAAAGTGCTCCAGGCTCTGGAAAATTCCTCTCCTGGTTTTCTTTAATGTCATGTAGTTTCCAGGCCCCTGTGAGTCTGTGCCATCTCTGACAGTGCTGCTTTCTAGAGCCCAAGCTGAGGTGCAGAGCCTAGATGTTGTCTAGCCTGATTCCTGGGCCTGACACCCAGCGGTGCCCATGATCATTGACTGCAGGAATCCCATGTGGCTGAAGAAGGGTTGGAGGGGCTAGTGCTGGGGGATTCTGGAAAGCAGAGAAGCCGTGGTCTGCCAAAGAGTGGCCCATCCTTGGAAAGAGGGGAGCTGCTAAGGACCTGGGAAGAAAAGCAGAGTTGGAAAAAGGGAATGAGGGGCCCTGGGCTGAGCAAAGGCAAAGCAGTCTTCTGGGGACAGTGTCACCAGGTCTGGTGTCTTCTCTCCTAAGCAGGTGTCTGGTCCCAGACCCAGAGCCAGGCCCTTGCTGCCCTTGACAGGGGGATTTACTGTTTGTCATTGCCAGTGTCCCACCCTCTGCATGCACTTCCAGGGAGACTCCACTCTCCGGATGGCAGGGGCTGGTGGCACTGGGAGAGGAGACAGCACCACTGGCTCTTCTTGAGAACAGCCCTGGCCTGGCCGGTCCTGCTGGCAGCTTATCCAGCTCCATCTTGGGGTCTGATATGGGACAGGAGCCGGGGGTCAGAACGTCCTGGCAGGTGGGTCCCACGTATGCAGAAGGGGCAGGGGACCTGTGGCCTCTGAGATGGGGAAGGTCACTCACCTGCCTCTGCCATGGGGGCCAGCAAACAGGCCAGCAGCAGCGAGAGCAGGAGTGGCTGCATCTTCCCAGGAGGCTGCTCAGTGGAGCCACTGGGGCGTCCTTTCCCCGGAGAGGATGGAGGAGCAGGTGGGCACAGTGAGCTGGGGCTCCTTTCTGGTTCTGTGGTGCGTCATCCTACAAGGTTTTCTATGAAGGCTGCCCCGCCCCCACACATGCTGTCAAGTGACGCTCCCTGGGGGGTAGGGGGGTATGAGGGCCCACAGTGGCCACATAGGTACCCACAGCTGATGACTCAAAAAAGATCACTTGTTCCAACCCTGACAGGAACCCGAGGCTAAGTTGGGAAATAGGAGGTGGTGTTGACGGTAGAGGTGCCAGAGCCCCAGAAATCAAGTCCCTAGTGACAGAAACACCGCCCTTCATCTCCATCCTGCCAAGTCCTTCAGGATAGTTTTTTCAGGGCAGGTGCAGTCCCTGCTGTGCTGCCACCAGATGCAGACACAGCAGTGCAGGCCATGGAGCACAAGTCAGTGACAGCCACAGCCACTTTATCCAGACAGCAGCCCTGCCTCATCCAAGCTTCATTCCTTGGGGTATTTCACACCCTTTAAAATTGCAAATGCTCAGGTCCTCCCTGGTGGCACAATCTATGAAGCAATCCGCAGCCTCTGCAGCACAAGTTCGATCCCTGGCCAGCCAGGGAGTAACCCACATGGTACAGCGGACCTTTCCTGTCTCGCCCACTGCTCCCCTAAGCATTGTATGTTCAGTCAGAACAGTCTGTTCTGTTCCTCACTCTGTTTCTGGTGAATTCTCTCACCCCCCCTCCTTTGGCCTGTACCCCAGCACTTGTATGCATAAATAAATAAATCTTTAAAAATAAATAAATAAATAAAATTGCAAATGCTCAGATTGAGACCATCTCTCTCGACCTTTGTTTTTACCAAAACTGGTCCTTGATATTGATTGACCTAAATAGCAAGTCTCTATGGCCCTAGAAGTTGAGTCCATGGGCTGACAAGCCTGGTCTTTCCTGCTTTGGGGGCACGAGGGTGGGTCCCACTCAAGCACATGGGCTAAGACTGGCAGGGGATGGCATCTCCCAAGGAAGTTAGATTGCTAAGCTGCCAATGCCATGTGAAGTGGGCAGCATGCTGGGCACCGGAGACCAGAACTTGACCTATTGGTGATCTCTGACCTCTGGATAAACCTCAGAATCATTGAGCTAATGAAAGAAGCCGAACACAACATACCACATAGTGCAAGGTTCCTCTGTGCTCCTCCCACCAGAATAGAACAAGCAGGGCTACAGATACACATGAGGGAAATGTTGGGTCATCCCTCAGGACATTAAAGATGATTATTAACAAGTAATGAGAAATCAAATGACTTTATAATTTTGTTTTCTTTTTAAAATTTTTGAAAAACTGTAGAAATTAATTGCAAGTAAAAATTCTAAAAACTAGGAAAGAGATGCTAGAGTGCCATGACATACATTTTTTTTTAATGACATCACTTTATTTTATTTTGTGTATGTTTTACATCATTCTTTTTGTACATTCTATGCTTTCTCCTCTCAGGTATAGTCCCTGTAGAATTCCCACCACCAATTCATCCGTGCACCATCGCCATAGTCCCTTATGCTCTTCCCTCCCCTGTGACCCCTCTCTCTCCCCTTCCCTTGCAGAATGTCTCTGATTTATATTGCCTGTTAATTTTGTTTTTTATTTTTTTAAATAATAAATTTTATTTTTATATTCCCCATACAATTGCAGCCCCCCCCATTCTGACCCCAATCCCTCCCCTCCCCCCCCCCCCCCCCCTAAAAGTGTCTCTGGTTCATAGTTTTTTGTTGATTTTGATTTTAACTTTCTTATAGTTATTCATTTTCCTGGTCCCTTATTTAAGTTTTCTAGATTCCTGCTATGAGTGAGACCATCCGGTATTTTTCTTTTTCTTTCTGGCTTATTTCGCTGAGCATGATCCCTTCCAGCGCCATCCATGTTGCTGCAAATTGCATGTGTTTATCTTTTTTGAATGCTGAGTAATATTCCATGGTATATATGTACCACATCTTCTTGATCCAGTCATCTATTTTTGGGCATTTGGGTTGTTTCCAAAGCTTAGCTACTGTAAACAGTGCTGCTATAAACATAGGGGTGCAGGTGTTCTTTGGAATTGATGTTTCTGTGTCCTTTGGGTAAATACCTAGGAGTGGAATTGCTGGATCATATGGAAGCTCTATGTTTAGTAGGTCCAAAAATCTCCACACAGCTCTCCTTAGTGGTTGGACCAGTTTGCACTCCCACCAACAGTGCAGAAGAGTTCCTTTTTCTCCACACCCTCGCCAACATTTGTTGTTGCTAGTTTTTTTAATATGTGCCATTCTCACTGGTGTAAGATGGTATCTCATGGTAGTTTTGATTTGCATTTCCCTGATGACAAGTGATGTTGAACATTTTTTCATATGCCTGTTGGCCATTTTCATTTCCTCTTCAGAGAAGTTTCTTTTTAGCTCTTCTGCCCATTTTTTGACGGGATTATTTTCTTTGTTGTTGTTGAGTCTCATCAGCTCTTTGCAGATTTTTGTGATCAGTCCTTTATCATTAGTGTTGGGTGCAAAAATGTTCTCCCAGTTGGTGGGGTTTCTCTTTGTTTTTGTTATTGTCTCTTTTGCTGTGCAGAAGCTCTTTAATTTGATGTAGTCCCAGCTGTTTATCTTTGCCTTCACTATCACTGCTTTGGGTGATGTGTCTGTAAAGATGTCTTTGATGTGCAAATCACGTAGTGTTTCGCCTAAATTTCCTTCTATATATTTTATGGTTTCAGGTCTTATGTCTAGTTCTTTAATCCATTTTGAGTTGATTTTTGTGTATGGTGTGAGGTAGTGGTCAAGCTTCATTCTTTTGCATGTAGCGACCCAGTTTTCCCAGCACCATTTATTGAACAAACTTTCTTTGCTCCAATGCATAGTCTTTGCTCCTTTGTCAAAGATTAGTTGACCATAAACCTGTGGGTTTATTTCTGGATTTTCTATTCGATTCCATTGGTCTGTGTGTGTGTGTTCTTGTTCCAATACCATGCAGTTTTGATGATTATGGCTTTGTAGTATAGTTTGAAGTCTGGGAGTGTGATGCCTCCATTCCCTTCTTTTTTTTTTCAGGAGAGCTTTGGCTATTCGGGGTTTTTTGTGATTCCATATGAATTTCATCAATAATTGTTCTATTTCTTTGAAGAATGACATTGAAATTTTGATTGGAATAGCATTGAACCTGTATATTGCTTTTGGAAGGATGGCCATTTTAATAATGTTTATTCTTCCAATCCATGAGCAGGGGATGTCTTTCCATTTCTTTGTGTCTTCTTCTATTTCTTTTAACAGTGTTTTATAGTTTTCTTTGTATAGGTCCTTTACCTCTTTTGTTAGATTTATTCCCAAATATTTGATTTTTTTTGTTTCAATAAAAAAAGGGATGGTTTTTTTGATTTCTTCTTCTTCAGATTTATTGTTTGTGTATAGGAAGGCTACTGACTTTTGCGTGTTGATTTTGTATCCTGCCACCTTACTGAACTGATTGATGAGTTGAATTAGTTTTTCTGTGGAGTTTTTGGGGTTCTCTATGTATATTATCATATCATCTGCAAATAGTGATAGCTTGACTTCTTCTTTTCCTATTTGGATTCCTTGGATGTCTTTCTCTTGTCTTATTGCTCTGGCTAGGACTTCCAGTATTATATTGAAAAGCAGTGGTGAGAATGGACAGCCGTGTCTTGTTCCAGATCTTAATGGAATTGCTTTCAGCTTTTCACCATTGAGAATGATACTGGCTGTTGGCTTGTCATAGATGGCCTTTATGATGTTGAGGTATGTTCCTTGTATCCCAAGAATTTCAAGGGCTTTTATCATGAATGGGTGTTGCACTTTGTCGAAAGCTTTCTCAGCATCTATTGATATTATCATATGGTTTTTATATTTCTTTTTGTTGATGTGTTGGATAATGTTGATTGATTTTCGGATGTTAAACCATCCTTGTGTCCCTGGAATGAATCCTACTTGGTCGTGGTGAATTATCTTATGGATACATTGTTGGATTCTGATAGCTAAAATTTTATTGAGGGTTTTTGCATCAGTGTTCATTAGGGAGATTGGCCTGTAGTTTTCCTTTTTTGTGTTGTCCTTGTTCGGTTTTGGTATTAGTGTAATGTTGGCTTCATAGAACGTGTTTGGTATTGTCCCTTCCTTCTCAATTTTTTGGAAGAGTTTGTGGAGGATAGGCACTAATTCGTCTCTGAATGTTTGGTAGAATTCATTTGTAAATCCATCAGGTCCTGGGCTTTTGTTTTTGGGGAGGTTTTTGATTACCATTTCAATTTCGCTGCTCGTAATTGGTCTGTTTAGGTGTTCTATTTCTTCTTTATCTAGCTTTGGGTGATTGTAGAGTTGTAGGAATTTGTCCATCTCCTCTAGATTGTTAAACTTGTTTCCATATAACTGTTCATAGTAGTTACTGATTATTCTTTTGATTTCTGCTGTGTCCGTTGTGATTTCTCCTCTTTCATTGATGATCCTGTTTATTTGTGCTTTCTCCCTTTTTTCCTTTGTGAGCCTGGCTAGGGGTTTGTCTATTTTATTGATTTTTTCAAAGAACCAGCTCTTGGTTTCATTGATCTTTTGGATTGTTTTTTTAGTTTCAATTTCATTTATTTCTGCTTTGGTTTTTATTATTTCTTTTCTTCTACTGGTTTTGGGGTTTTTTTGTTGTTCTTTTTCTAGATCTTTGAGCTTCGAGATTAGGTTGTTTCTTTGAGTTCTTTCTTGTTTCTTGATGTGAGCTTCTATTGCTATATATTTTCCTCTTATTACTGCTTTTGCTGCATCCCATACAGTTAGGATATTGGTGTCCTCCTTGTCGTTCAATTCAAAGAATTTTTTAATTTCTTCTTTGATCTCCTCATTAGTCCAGTGGTCTTCCAGTAGTGTGGTTTTTAATCTCCATGAGGTAGGAAAGTTCCTTGCCTTCTTTTTATGGTTTATTTCTAGTTTGATGCCTTCATGGTCAGAAAAGATGGTTGATATGATTTCAATCTTGGTGTATCTGTTGATGTTTGTCTTGTGCCCCAGTATGTGATCGATC